CTCTCTCTCTCAAAAATAAACATTTAAAAAAAATTTTTTTAAGTGTCTTTAATGACATGGAGAGTCATTAAGTGCAAACAGCAAAGGACAAAACTGTATACACAGTACAAGGGAAAACTTCTTTTCAAAGAATGTTAATAGTGGGTTTTTTTCTAGATAAAGAATATATGGGTTATTTTGAGTGACGTGGCTCTTCATACATATCTCTACCTTCAAAACCTTCTTCTGTGTTTTCACCTCAACAAACAAGGATTAGCCATCCCTCTCTGTTCCTGGAATGAAACAGCAGCGGCAAACCTTCCGTGAGCACCTGGCAGCCGGGAGCCAGACCCCGGGACCAGGGGTTCCAGGAAGGGCAGGGCCCAGCCTGGGGGCAGAAATGTGCAAAGGCCTTTGTTAATTGTTACTTTTCAAAAATTTTTTAACAAGTAGAAGGGGGCAGGCACGTAGGGGTGCAGGTGGTATCTGGGTTCTGTTAGGAGGGATGCCAGTGGCCAGGACCATCTTCCACAACCCCCCCCCGCCCGCGTGTTCCCTGTCCCACCTTCTCCTGGAGGGGGCTGCGGGTCCCAAGGAGGGGCCTAGGCGGCGGGCCTCCCCAGCGGCCCTCAGCCCTCCAGCTCGGTGGTCATCACGCTGCAGGACCTCAGCCTTCGGCCCGCATGCTCTCTGTCCCGTTCTAGAACGTTAAGGTGACACTCCACCACCGGCTCGTCCAGCATCCCAGTCCTGATAAGTTGATATTCCCTGCTATCACACTCTTCTTCTGTTGCTCTAGCCCGTTGACCTATTCCCTGAAGGAGTTAACTTTCCAACGCTAACGTATGTGGAGCCCGAGGAAGCGTGGACCCAGAGGGGCAGCTGGGGGCCGCCTGCCCTGTGCCCGCATCGTGACACCCTGCAGACCCCAGAGGTGTTTTCCTGCTCCGCCCTAGGATAGGACAGTAAAATTAGCTTGTGGAGAGAACACGTCCCCTTGAGCAGGTAATCTGCATTCTAGTGGCCGTCCAGTCAAACCACAGGTAGGGGCGCTCATGGTCACCTGAGAACACAGACGATGGGATGGCCATAGCGTAACAGGGGCGAGGGATTCAACGGCCACGAAGACGAAGGTGCGAGGGAGCCCATGGAATGTTCCAGAGTGATTCTGTGAGCCATCAGCCAGCCTCCTTTACCCCTCTGCCCTCCATTCCAAGAGCTGAGTAGGCTCCAAGGCCCCAGCACTAACAGTAACAATAGACACAGTAACAATTACCAGGGCATCACCCCCTGCATGCCCACCAACGGCCAGCACCCACCAGCACTTGACCCCTGATCTTCCAATCCTCTCCATCTAACTGCTGGGCAGCTGATGAATGGGCCTGCCTGAGGCTCCCCCAGGGTCAGGGCTGGGCTCCAACCCTCCCCGCCTCGCCTACAGACCTGCCCTTTAAAAGCAATGCTCGAGTCCCCCAGGCGACCTCCCAACGGCTCCTGCCTTCCAAATCTCGGCTCAGGCCAAGGCCACTCACATCCCAGGGTCAGAGCCATCAGAGTGCTCTAAAGCCTACTGAGTTTCATGTAAGAGTTTGGACCTGAGGAGGACGAGAAGGCTGGATCTTGCAGGACAGGGTTGTCCTGAAGACGGAAATTCTCAGACCACACCTACCCTACGGGACCTGAAAAGACCAACCAAACATCGGGCTTCAGCATTGGGCAGGGAAGGAGGCCTTTGGTTTTGCCACGTCTCTAGCAGGAGGAATGGGCTAAACTACTTTTTAAGACAAGGCTCCCTGAGCCACATCTATGACACATGGCAGGTGCACGGAGCGACCCTAGGTGTGTACAGGGGTGACTGAAGGATGAGTGCCCCAGGCAGCCTGAACCTGGAGGCCGGGGTAAGTGGGTACGGGTGACATTCTAGCTGCTCATGTCTACAGGGTCCAGGCCATCATTATCGCGACAGGAGGACAGATGTGGGGAAGGGACAGACCGATGAGGCACCTCGGAAGGAGCCCCAGCCCAGTCACCTGTGGACAGTGCGGCCCCCACACACTCACCCACTTGTCAGGGCCTCAGTTTCCCCAAACTGCATTCATGGCAACTACTGGTGTCTTTGGGGGGGAAGGGGTTCTAGGAAGCGCTCATGGACACGGCAGCCGTGATCATCGCGCCCGAGTCTATGCCTGTGGGTCCCGCCGCCTCCGCCTCAGGTCCTGTGGATGCAAAGCAAACTAGCAAACGTGCACGGAGGGACCGTCCCCCCTAGCTGGGCCTAAGAGGCACCCCTGCTTAGTCTCCTGCCTCTCCAGCTGTCACTAGTCTCTGAACAACTGGAACAAAATAAGGGTTTGTCCCACTGAGAGCCGACCCATCACTGGCCTTCATCATTGGGTAGATGGTGCACTTACCAATCGGACTGCAAATTCACACCAGGGGATTGTTCGGGAAGTGCGGTCTTTAACTTCTGCGTTTTCCAGGCCCCTCTGTCTGCCCTTCGGTAGGCTCCCTGACAGCTACTTCCTTCCAGAGGACGGAAGGGGGGTGGGAGCTCGAAGGGAGCAGAAGGGGGCTCCTGATTAGCAGCTCTTCCCGAGGCCAGTGCGGGATGTGGGGGGCGGCGGTGGTGGGCGGGAGCAAATAAACAAGAATCAGTCTGGGAGACTTTGCCGTTTATCCAAGGTCTTTCCCTCCTTAGCGTGCATAATCGAGAGTTGGCTGTGAATGAGGAAAATGGATATTCAAAAGCGACAACTATCAAACAGAGGTCTCATCCCTGCTTGGTTACGGGTTTCCAGTAAATACCAAACTTTGCTACCGTATTGCCACCTGGTGAAACTATACAATCCCACCAAATTACACGTCTATCTATATCCAACTAGGTTTTAGACCGGCAAATGTGATATCCATGAGCAGATGGCCATTATATCAAAATACATTTACTCCAAGGGGCCAATTCACAAACGGGTCTCTCACACACCTACGTGATAAATGTACAGCTGCAATTCATCGTGGGGTCTTGCAAAACACACTTTCTTCCAAATTTATAATTGATCACTTCACCTCTGTTACGAGCAGAGCAGGTGGTTTTGATGAAAGGTAGAATACACTGGGAAATAAAAAATGCAGGGGCGCCTGGGTGGCGCAGTCGGTTGGGCGTCCGACTTCAGCCAGGTCACGATCTCGCGCTCCGTGAGTTCGAGCCCCGCGTCAGGCTCTGGGCTGACGGCTCAGAGCCTGGAGCCTGTTTCCGATTCTGTGCCTCCCTCTCTCTCTGCCCCTCCCCCATTCATGCTCTGTCTCTCTCTGTCCCAAAAATAAATAAAAAACGTTGAAAAAAAATTTTTTTTAAAAATGCAGAGAAAGCAGATATAGGTAAGAGCTCGTTCCTTCCTACTCTGAAACGGACACTAAAGTACAAGCAGGATATATGTTAATTTACGAACATACGTTCTGATTTTTCGCAGGAAGATACTCTGCCAAGCAAAGCTGAAACACCACTTCTGCTCTCATGTGATAGGAGCAAAAATTTTTCTATCACTCTGGCAGATTTTAATTGCCTGGTACCAATCATTAACGTACTGGTCTGCAAAACCATCTGATTTATACCAGAATTGTTTCTTTATTTAAAACCTGCTAGAAGCCATTTTTAAGAA